TAGGTGTACTGTAGACTGTGTGTGCTATCCTGGTAGTGTACCTAATGTATTGATTGTAGGTGTACTGTAGACTGTGTGTGCTATCCTGGTAGTGTACCTAATGTATTGATCTTTGGTCTACTGTAGACTGTGTGTGCTATCCTGGTAGAGTACCTAATGTATTGACCGTAGGTGTACTAAAATCTGGTATCTTGACATTATTACGTTTGATATATTGGCCTGAGAACGTTGATATAGAAACTTGTCTATGAAATACTGTTAACATTTGATTGGCTGTTGACATTTGATAAAGAAACTTGTCTATGAAATACTGTTAACATTTGATTGGCTGTTGACATTTGACTTACTCACTTGAATAAGTTGATTTCAGGATGACAGTAATTGATGTAATTACCTGAGAATGTTATTACATATGTACCTGATGTACTGATCTGAATGTGTTGACAGGTAGAGATAGACTTGGGGAAGGATTACCGATACCACTCCACCTTCGCCTGTCCGATCCTGCGCCAACAGACAACAGACACCAATCCGCCCATGAGGCTTATTTGTGGTCATGTGATATCAAAGGACGCCCTTACAAAACTTTCAAATGGAACAAAGTAAATCTTTCTCTATAGCTGCTTAAAATCAGGGGGCTCTCCAAAGCTTGTATTTATATTAAACTGAAATCGTTTAATGTGATATTTGAATATTTTACACTATGATCCAAATTGTTTGAACTGAAAGTTTACACATATCAGGTATATAAGTTTCTTTTCTTTTTATAAATTAAGTAGGTAATGTAAAAGTTTTTTCTTTTCATGGTCCATATTCTTCACAGATTGTCTAAAATGATAAATTTTGCAGGATCTATTTTTCAGTGTTTATAGCACAATCTACTGCAATAAAAGCAGATTATTTTGCTATTTTTCCATGGGTTGTATTTACTGTGAAAAATTGTTTCCATGAAAATCCCCAAAATGAACACCTTAAGCAATATAAAAACGTTTACAGTATATTTGACCAGACTGAGGGGAGGGAGCTCGGGACTACAGATACGGCCTATACTTCACTAGACTACGATACCATCCTCAATACTCAAGGGGTTAGGTTCACTTACTCTCTCTACACCCTGCAATGTCACAGCAACATTGAAGGCACGAAGATAGATATTTCATTGGTCTCAGGTAAAAAATATCTGACCAGTTGCTAGGCTGATTCCTGTCCTTTAGGGATTACGGAGAAGCGACACCCATCTCCGAAGCGACACCTGTAGAGACTTGATTTTGCCATGACATATTCCGGGGATGTAGAGACTTGATTTTGCCATGACATATTCCGGGGTCGTAGAGACTTGATTTTGCCATGACATATTCCGGGGATGTAGAGACTTGATTTTGCCATGACATATTCCGGGGGAGTAGAGACTTGATTTTGCTATAACATATTCCAGGGGGGTAGAGACTTGATTTTGCCATGACATATTCCGGGGGAGTAGAGACTTGATTTTGCTATAACATATTCCAGGGGTGTAGAGACTTGATTTTGCCATGACATATTTCGGGGATGTAGAGACTTGATTTTGCCATGACATATTCCGGGGATGTAGAGACTTGATTTCGTCATGACATATTCCGGGGGTGTAGCGACTTGATTTTGCCATGACATATTCCGGGGGTGTAGAGACTTGATTTTGCTATAACATATTCCAGGGGTGTAGAGACTTGATTTTGCCATGACATATTCCGGGGATGTAGAGACTTGATTTTGCCATGACATATTCCGGGGGTGTAGAGACTTGATTTTGCCATCACATATTCCGGGGGTGTAGAGACTTGATTTCGCCATGACATACTCCGGGGGTGTAGAGACTTGATTTTGCCATAACATATTCCGGGGGTGTAGAGACTTGATTTAATCATGACATATTCCGGGGGTGTAGAGACTTGATTTTGCCATCACATATTCCGGGGGTGTAGAGACTTGATTTTGCCATGACATATTCCGTAGGTGTAGAGACTTGATTTTGCCATGACATATTCCGGGGGTGTAGAGACTGTAAGTGAGTTGAAGCCCTGGAGTGTCGTGGATGACAGCTAGGATAACAAGATACTTGAACAGTTCACCATTTTGAAACAAATTAAACACAGGATATGGTGATTTTAGTACCAATCATTCTATTCCAAAATTACAAAAAAAAATGTTGTAAAAGCAAAAAGCAGAGTTTACAATCTGGAGATATAAAGGTTTGCAATATTTCATCAATAAGGTTTCATTGGAGATAATTGAATTCATTGTTGGGTATAATTTGATGGAGTTATGCTAGATACAGGAATACATTAGTATACATGTTATAAACTTGTTTTTCAGGGTGAAGTGTCCTTACTGCCCTATAGAACAGCTACCCATGGAAGCCAAGCAGATTTACTTCTGAGAGGCCATGCTGATTAATGAAGTGGAAGTCAAAGGATTGCCTTTTGGTGGGACTTACGTAGTGGGTGTATTCTGCACAAGCTTGCTTCCAAATCAAAAGTTTAATTTGTGAATTTTGTTTTGAGAGCAAGACACCGATTTCTGTCAATTTCAGTGAAGATGTCTGGTGTTTCCTGCAAGAATATTGCTTCTACAGGGAAATAAATGTGGAATTCTGTTTATGAAGCCCTCAACGTTTCTAGATGTGACTCACACTCAACGTTTTAGCAACTTCCTAGAGGTCATAGTGCAACACTGACACCATGGAGGTCACATGTCAATATTGACACCATGGAGGTCACAGGTCAACACTGACACCATGGAGGTCACATGTCATAGTGCAACACTGACACCATGGAGGTCACAGGTCAATATTAACACCATGGAGGTCACAGGTCAATATTGACACCATGGAGGCCAGAGGTCAACACTGACACCATGGAGGTCACATGTCATAGTGCAACACTGACACCATGGAGGTCACAGGTCAATATTGATACCACGGAGGTCACAGGTCAATATTGACACCATGGAGGTCACAGGTCAACACCATGACAGCACAAGCATGTTTCAGTCTGTGATCTGACAGTATTTTTTACAGAGTTTGTGCTTAGACTGAACTTGTATATAATCAAGGGACAAATTTCTGTTTGTATTTATAGTTAAAGTGAAATATCTTGGACCGGAGGTGTGCAACTTAAAACCCCCCACCAAACTATTAAGCTATTTTGAAGGACAATGAACTTTTGAAAATAGCATTTCAATAAACATTTGCTCCTGGTACTGGATTGCATCCATACCCCGTTATTGTTATGTACTGGGTTCTTTATGTACTGCGTCAGTAACATGTCTATTGAACGACCCCGTTATTGTAATGTACTGGGTTCTTTATGTACTGCGTCAGTAACATGTCTATTGAACGTCCCCGTTATTGTAATGTACTGTGTTCTTTATGTTCTGCGTCAGTAACATGTCTATTGAACGACCCCGCTATTGTAATGTACTGGGTTCTTTATGTACTGCGTCAGTAACATGTCTATTGAACGTCCCCGTTATTGTAATGTACTGTGTTCTTTATGTTCTGCGTCAGTAACATGTCTATTGAACGACCCCGTTATTGTAATGTACTGTGTTCTTTATGTACTGCGTCAGTAACATGTCTATTGAACGATTCCTTTTTGATGTACAGCAATCCAGGGGAGACAATCAATTACAGTTGTAGGCCGGTGATCAAGATGTAAGATGTTACATATGTTGGTAAAATAGAAGATTTATCTGTTCCAAGTTTAAATGTCTGTGAAATGAAATGTAAAATATGTGATATTTTCTGTAATCAGTGACATCCCTGTAAACACATCATTGCTGTTAAAGGATCCCCGTGTTACTGCCAAAAACGAAGTCCATGTATTGGATAACCATGATGTCATTTTTGAAAGAAACCATGCATTGTGGTATTTTTATGGAAATAATAAAGAGAAAATAAACAAAATATAATGGATAAGAGTGTCTGAGTGTAGAACATTGGGTGGGGCTAGACCAGGATTTAAACCCTGGACATGAGATTGCTATTCTATCGCTGTAACCAATGGAGTTACCTGGTCAATGGAACCCTGGACACCAGATTGCTATTCTATCGCTGTAACCAATACTCCACCTGGTCAATGGAACCCTGGACACCAGATTGCTATTCTATCGCTGTAACCAATGGAGTTACCTGATCAATGGTACTCTGGACACCAGATTGCTATTCTATCGCTGTAATTAATGGAGTTACCTGGTCAATGGAAGTGTGCTAGCCCAATATTAATTGTACTACAGTTACGTCCAAACGGAAGTCAAGGTGACTGTATAGGAATAATGGCAGTGAAGTGGGACAGTGATCCTACAGAGAATCTTTTGTACCACAATTGACCTTTGAGATAATGTTTTGACCCCTAAAATTGGTTTTGACTCTTGAACAGAACAGGTCTAGTTAACATGTGGCAGTGTTTTGACATCCAAATATAAGGAAACATGTTATTTGACTTGTGAAATTGCAGCATTTTAAGGGTCAGCTGAAAGTCCTGGTGCCGGTATGTGTTTTATCACGGGTACATAACCACTTTGCCAAGTTATGATGAATAGAATCAAGGCCAAGTGGCATATTTAATATTTCTAATCAAAACAATGTCTTCTCTCTCAGATTTAGTATTAAATTTCTGTCTCCTGGCGGTTTTTGTTGCTCTTTGTGGATAAAGAAATGTAAATAAATATCTGTCGATTTCAGAGCTAGTTAAAAAGCTGATTGTACAGAAGGTGTAAATATTCTGTGTTGTTGTAGTGTAACGTTTGTTTTATCATTGTTTCTATTTATTCCTAATGTTAAGAACTTGGGTAAGATGCCCACCAGATCATTCTCAGTCTTACAGGAATTTACTTCACCCAGACTTTGCCCGATTGGTCGGGCAGCACTGAGATGTCAGTAGTGATTAAAAGGAGACGATAGTTGTTCCAAATATAAACAGACAACCGCTGTAGGATCAATTATCTGGATAACTTGGGTGATCTGTCGAGCAGATTAGCCGATAGGCCAAGTGTACTAGGTGGTCAGTCAATAGTCTGTCAAAAGTCCAGTGGTCCCTTTTTTAGTGGATATGATGATTTGTCAAGTGGATCAGTGGGTTGTTCAAATGTACCTGGTGATCTTTCAAGGGGATGATTGGTCAAGTGGGACATTGGGTTGGTCAAATGTACCTGGTGATCTTTCAAGGGGATGATTGGTCAAGTGGGACATTGGGTTGGTCAAATGTACCTGGTGATCTTTCAAGGGGATGATTGGTCAAGTGGGACATTGGGTTGGTCAAATGTACCTGGTGATCTTTCAAGGGGATGATTGGTCAAGTGGGACATTGGGTTGGTCAAATGTACCTGGTGATCTTTCAAGGGGATGATTGGTCAAGTGGGACATTGGGTTGGTCAAATGTACCTGGTGATCTTTCAAGGGGATGATTGGTCAAGTGGGACATTGGGTTGGTCAAATGTACCTGGTGATCTTTCAAGGGGATGATTGGTCAAGTGGGACATTGGGTTGGTCAAATGTACCTGGTGATCTTTCAAGGGGATGATTGGTCAAGTGGGACATTGGGTTGGCAAATGTTCAATTAGAGAGGATGATTGGTCAAGTGTCTTGGTCAATTATGGACAAAGTGACCTTTCTAGGGTGATTGGTCAAGTGGGACAGTGGTTTGGTCAAATGGACAAAGTGACCTTTCAAGTAGAGAGGAGTGTAACATGTTAGTCAAATGCAGCTGGTGACCTTTCTAGGGTGATTGGTCAAATATACTGTAGGTGATCAGTCAAGTTTACCATCAGTATGACACTGTAGGTGATCAGTAGTTTACCATCAGTATGACACTGTAGGTGATCAGTAGTTTACCATCAGTATGACACTGTAGGTGATCAGTAGTTTACCATCAGTATGACACTGTAGGTGATCAGTAGTTTACCATCAGTATGACACTGTAGGTGATCAGTAGTTTACCATCAGTATGACACTGTAGGTGATCAGTAGTTTACCATCAGTATGACACTGTAGGTGATCAGTAGTTTACCATCAGTATGACACTGTAGGTGATCAGTAGTTTACCATCAGTATGACACTGTAGGTGATCAGTAGTTTACCATCAGTATGACACTGTAGGTGATCAGTAGTTTACCATCAGTATGACACTGTAGGTGATCAGTAGTTTACCATCAGTATGACACTGTAGGTGATCAGTAGTTTACCATCAGTATGACACTGTAGGTGATCAGTAGTTTACCATCAGTATGACACTGTAGGTGATCAGTAGTTTACCATCAGTATGACACTGTAGGTGATCAGTAGTTTACCATCAGTATGACACTGTAGGTGATCAGTAGTTTACCATCAGTATGACACTGTAGGTGATCAGTAGTTTACCATCAGTATGACACTGTAGGTGATCAGTAGTTTACCATCAGTATGACACTGTAGGTGATCAGTAGTTTACCATCAGTATGACACTGTAGGTGATCAGTAGTTTACCATCAGTATGACACTGTAGGTGATCAGTAGTTTACCATCAGTATGACACTGTAGGTGATCAGTAGTTTACCATCAGTATGACACTGTAGGTGATCAGTAGTTTACCATCAGTATGACACTGTAGGTGATCAGTAGTTTACCATCAGTATGACACTGTAGGTGATCAGTAGTTTACCATCAGTATGACACTGTAGGTGATCAGTAGTTTACCATCAGTATGACACTGTAGGTGATCAGTAGTTTACCATCAGTATGACACTGTAGGTGATCAGTAGTTTACCATCAGTATGACACTGTAGGTGATCAGTAGTTTACCATCAGTATGACACTGTAGGTGATCAGTAGTTTACCATCAGTATGACACTGTAGGTGATCAGTAGTTTACCATCAGTATGACACTGTAGGTGATCAGTAGTTTACCATCAGTATGACACTGTAGGTGATCAGTAGTTTACCATCAGTATGACACTGTAGGTGATCAGTAGTTTACCATCAGTATGACACTGTAGGTGATCAGAAGTTTACCATCAGTATGACACTGTAGGTGATCAGTCAAGTTTACCATCAGTATGACACTGTAGGTGATCAGTCAAGTTTACCATCAGTATGACACTGTAGGTGATCAGTAGTTTACCATCAGTATGACACTGTAGGCGACACTGTAACATTATAAAATAATAGGATTTGTATTACATGTAATACATATTTATATCGAGAATAAACTGCTGTGTATCAAGGAGACCACACCGTTTATCTCTGACACTATCCCACTTCACGGTATCTTGAACAACAGATTTTAGTAAATGAAGGTTTGGTTATTTGGTACAAACTTTGAGTTGTTTAAATGATAGAACTAATTGACTTATTGTTTTGTCCTTAAAAAAAAAGAGAATAAATTGTTGATTTTTATATTGTCATTCCTGTCTTTATTTACTCAACAAACAAACATTTCACCCCAAAACGAAGTGTTTTTAACAGTTAGAATTACAGTCAAACTTCCATGTTTCAAACCTTAGGAAACCATCAGGGAGGGGAAAATTCAAAACACTGAGACTTCGATTCAAGAATTTTTAACTTGGAACATCTTTGAAATAGGCATAAGATGGAATATGGTTTGTTAAATGACAGAACACAAGGCAAAAAGTTTAATTTGAAATCTACAAAATATTGGATAAAATGTAACTAGAAAAATTGAGCTACCAGCTGGTCGCTAATGATCAACCAGTCCAGTCCAGCTACAATAATACAGTTTAAGCTGTTGGTACACTTTACCTGAAAAGCTTTAAACAAAAAACTAGATCAACAGTCTGTACAAGTTATAAATTTATTTGATGACATCCGAAATGCAAAAGCACAGAACTACATATATATAAAACATAACCGATTTCTACACACCACACCACACCCCTTTTACAGTCAAACAGAAGTTGCATGTTGGTCAATATGTAGTTCAACATTCATTTTATGATGTCATTTCAATTGTGACATCACAAGGCTTGCTACCAAATGTAGTATTTTCCTCCGTATAATTTTTATTCGTTCCATCTTGTTTTGATAATTAAAACAACATTATTTAGCATCAAATATAAGAATTTCAGATTTTTTTTCCGTGAATTTGTTCACCTGTACAAAAGTTTTTTTTTTTAATATTTCACTAGTCCAGTGACTTCTACAATTCCGATATAATAACAGACCTTCTGCACATGGTTCTACTCTAGATAGAGATATTAAAGGAGCATAATCTATTACAGTTTTACCTGCTGTGGAACACAGCACAATGACATAAATGAAAATATTTCATTAATTCTGAGAAAACACAGCTGTAACAATATATTTCACATTTAAAGGAGAACATTGTAATACAGAGATACTAGAACTCACAAACCAATACAATAGTCATCTTAATATCATACATCAACAACTCTATCACCATTTTTCTCAATATACTGTACCTCCAACAAAAGGACCAAAAAACGGATCAAGAAGTCAAAGTTGATGTTCTGTCATCTCTACCAAAGCAATTCTGTGTCTGGCCTCGGCCTGGGTATAAACAAGTGACAAATACAATCAATCTGCCTAAACTGGACTTCTGTCTTAACCAGACTTCTGTTCAAACTGGACTTCTGACTTAACCAGACTTCTGTCTAAACCCAGATTTCTGTCCAAACCAAACTTCTGCCTAAACTGGACTTCTGTCTGAACCAGACTTCTGTTTTAACCAGACTTCTGTCTAAACCAGACTTCTGTCTTAACCAGACTTCTGTCCAAACGAGACTTCTGTCTTAACCGGACTAATGTCTAAACCAGACTTCTGCCTAAACTGGACTTCTGTCTGAACCAGACTCTGTTTATGTTTCTCAAACATGATTGTTTACATCATTCTATATGTGATGAATGTTTGGACGGATTTCCTGAAAAAATCTCCACAGAGGGATATAAAAGTTTGATATGTTTTACTAAATACTGAAAATAAAAATTTAATTTGTCTCGGAGCAAAAAAATATAGATGATTAAATCTTGGGTCATTTTTTTACAAACTATTATAAAAGGATTTGAAGTAAACAACATACGCTCTGTAGCATTCTTCATGTGGATTACATGGAGTACATTAATGAAAGTAAATCAAAAATAAATAAATTCTAAAGAGTTATTAATATCAAGAAAATAAGGATTTTGGTCATGTACTTTGATAAGGCTTTCAGAAAAATTACATTTATACCAAAGTATTACATAAAAATTATATGACTTCTATGAAAAAAAGTGAAAATATCTAAAAAATATCTAAGAAAGGCTAGAGAGTTATAAATGCACCGTGTGAACACATAACAGCCAACGCCTATTTTTTTTTTATTTCTATCACATAAAATGTTATTCAAATACAAATTGCACATTGATAAATACAAAATCTGAACTGATGCTCAGCCGTGAACATGGTTGTCACAGATATAACAAAATGTTTACCAAATACTCCTTTCAACACTGTAGACAATAATGGACTCACCCTGAAAAATGTATGGTAGAGTCTACTAAAGCTACCTAGGGGTGAACACTCAACATCTGTAACACTCAGAAATATCACATCTATTCAATGATATAGCAACCAAATAAATATGAGTTTCATGAAATTTCTCAATATTTAACCTGACAAGGAAACATCTTCTCAACTTTTTAAAGATAATTCTGTTATGTTCAGAAGTCTGGAAATCTGAATATTTAACAGAATATGTCATTAACTCATTCACCACTGAAGACACATTTAAACTCTTCCAATTCAAAGGTTGGAATAGTTCATTATAAAATTTCAGGGGTGAATGAGTAAACAACAGATGTCTACACATCATTATCACATTTCTTGACTTACAGTCCAATACAAAATTAAAGGTCTTTTACATTTCATACATTTTTGGTCAATTATTCTGAAATCATGAATGTTACCTTTGAAACAGACATTGCAGTATAAAAGAAAACTGTCTAAAAATTTCTTTCACAATATTTTCTATATTTTCACTTGATAAATAATCATGCTTAGAAGTAGCAGGACAAGACAACATTGGAAAGTATGCAATTTCTGCCACAGAAAACCTCTGTATGGTCGCGTGTCAGATATAAGTTTGACATGTGATCATACAGAGGTTTTCTGTGGCACAAGTTCTCAACAATGAAATGACACCAGAGATGGCCAAAATGTAGGTCAAGCAAGCTAATGGCAGGTCATTTCAGCATTCAAACGTTTCTAAGTCATCAAAATCAGAAGTATGCTATTAAAAGTTGCCTTTAAATATATTAGTAGATATTTTTTTGAGGGGTATTTATAAGTTAAAGCGGTGATTTTAAAACATTTTTAATGCTAGGATATGTAGTGCAAGAGATTCCAAAATATACAACAGTCTGTGCAGATTATGTAGTCCACACTCTGATGGACCTGTAGGTCACACTCTGATGGACCTGTAGGTCACACTCTGACGGACCTGTAGGTCACACTCTGATGGACCTGTAGGTCACACTTTGATGGACCTGTAGGTCACACTCTGATGGATCCGGACCTGTAGGTCACACTCTGGGACCTGTAGGTCACACTCTGATGGATCCGGACCTGTAGGTCATACTCTGATAGACCTGTAGGTCACACTCTGATGGACCTGCACAAATACAGGTGACTTGGCAGGTATGTTAACTTAGTAATCAGAGTGTGTAACATTTGTTCTTTTTCCGGCTGTCTGAGAAATAACCAAAGTGAAGGGATACACCCTTAATAAAGTGAGTTTTAGATAAATTTGACATCACAGGAAACTTTTCTCCAACACAATTAAAGCATACAAACAACAATACAATATCTTTTATTATTAAGGGTTCTATTATGGGATGTAGGCTAGTTTCTGAGGTAGAATACCAGATCGGAGCTGTCGTAACCGGTGACACAAAATCCCATGCCTGCCTTGTGTACAAACTGTCCACCACACAGCTGTAAGTCTGTAACACTCTCACCAAAACTAAACTCAATCTGTAAAAACAGAAGACAAATAGTGACAAAATCTACTATATTCTTACTGAAAAATACTCAATCTGTATACAGAAGACAAATATAGAAAGTGACAAAATCTACTAAATTCTCACCAAAATATACTCAATTTGTAAAAACAGAAGATAGAATAAATTAAGTGACAAAATCTTCTATATTCTCACTGAAAAATATTCAATCTGAAAAACAGAAGACAATAATGTTATCATTTTTGTCACTTTTGTCGACAAAAAAAACCCTTAATCTGATGAACGGCAGACAATACCTTGTACAACATTGACGTAATCTGTGACACTCCTGTGGGAAACAAACATCACTACACTGTTAATTTTTGAAATTATCATCCTTTACAGTGTACTCAAAATAACTTGAATTCGCAAATGACCGACCTGTCTAAACCGAACCCTTCATCATTCAGAAACTCTTATAATAATACCTTCAAACAATTCTATAGTATTTATTTCACTGCATACACAGTTATATCCTAAAAAAGTAAAACCTATGTAATCAAAAAATCTGTGCAGTGATTTTTCTGCCTCCATTCCACAGGGGCCTGTGCCTTGAGACTTTGGGAAAAAGCATGATTCCCGGAAAAAAGTGATTTCTGCATTGATTTTGGAAAAACACAGCAGAAAATATCTACAATGTATAATCCTGAAATCTGTGTAATCCTACAATCCTTACTTCTCATAAATCTATAACCCTAAAACCTGTTTCTACCACTATTGCCCTTGTTTATCAACTCTCATTTAATTTTCCAACTTTAAAAAGACACTCGGTAACCTCTTAACTATTTAAAGTTTGAAAATTAACTAACCCTAGTTAGATAAACATGTTAATCAACCGACACTTGTTGTGTAAAACGCTACGTAATCCTTCAGTCCTAACATAACTTGTGCAAACCAATAACCCGTGGAATCTTATAATACTAAAACGTGTGTATCTTATACCCATAAATACTAGAACCTGTGTATCTTATACCCATTAATACTAACGTGTGTATCTTATACCCATTAATACGAAAACTTGTGTATCTTATACCCATCAATACGAAAACTTGTGTATCTTATACCCATCAATACTAAAACCTGTGTATCTTGTACCCATTAATACGAAAACTTGTGTATCTTATACCCATTAATACTAAAACGTGTGTATCTTATACCCATTACTACTAAAACTTGTGTATCTTATACCCATTAATACTAAAACTTGTGTATCTTATACCCATCAATACTAAAACTTGTGTATCTTAAACCCATCAATACTAAAACTTGTGCATCTTATTCCCATTAATACTAAAACGTGTGTATCTTATACCCATCAATACTAAAACTTGTGTATCTTATACCCATCAATACTAAAACTTGTGCATCTTATTCCCATTAATACTAAAACGTGTGTATCTTATACCCATCAATACTAAAACTTGTATATCTTACACCCATTAATACTAAAACGTTTGTATCTTATATCCATCAATACTAAAATGTGTGTATCTTATACCCATTTATACTAAAACTTGTGTATCTTATACCCATTAATATGAAAACTTGTGTATCTTATACCCATTATTTCTAAAACCTGTGTATCTTATACCCATTAATACTAAAACTTTCATATAATCCTTATACCTATGACTTGGTTAGGTTTTGCCCTAAAGATATGTACTGAAGTACACAGACATCCAGTACGAGTGTTAACAAGTCTTACCTCGGGATTCTCCCCTGCTTTCAGTTTCCAGATCCTTGCATACGTATCATCACTCACTGAAAGAAGCTGAAAGGGAAATTCACAAGAGTGCTTTCAATCAAATACATCTTGTTTAGTGCAATAGAATCAAATGTACAATTGCAAACATGTCAAAGGCGGGGTGGTGTGATGCCAACAGCATTGTAAACCATCTTCTTACATAAGTAAAGTTAAACCAGAGTACCGCGGGGCGGAACAATATACGCCCGTCAAATTCCATATAGTGTTATATACTTTCTTACATACTATAAAAAATGTAGGAGAAAATCTCTGGACAAAAAATCAAATACTGAAATGAACAAAGGACAATAACTTTTGCAAAAATTGTTGAATCAAAATTCTTTTAAGGGAGACACAACTTCATATCATGATTATAATGTATACCAAGTTTCAAAGAGATCCCTTGAAAAATGTAGGAGGAGATTGCCGGACAAATAAAAGTTTACGTCGGTCAGACGGACAACGCCATACCATAATACTTCCATCAAATTTGACGGGCGTATAAAAAGAGGCTCTAAATTTCTCCTCAAGAAAAAATAGGATTTTAAAGGATCCAAGACATAGCTTAATTCAAAACTATACCATCATTACAAATAAGTGTTTATGACATTTTTACCAGTTAAACACAAAAACTAATCAGTTAGTATTACGAGTAAAATGTACCTAGAATAAATAATAAAATGAAGACAAAACAAATAAGAAATATTCATTCAGTTAAAATACTGGATTCTCTTCACCAAAACAAGATGGTTGTGGCCTCTGTAATTGTTTAACTCATTCAACCCTGAAGACACATGAACTCTTCCAATTCAAAGGTTGGAAAAGTTCATTATGAAATCTCAGGGGTGAATGAGTTAATCAATATAACAATTTTGTGAGGTATCTGATTCACCAGTTAAAATATTTTCCAGGAATATATTTGTAATTTTTACAAGAACTCCACTTTATAAAAGACTGAAATTTTGTTGCTTTGGTTGTTTTTTAATGAATAAATCGAACGACGTTCATGCAAGACATCATTATCTTACCTCTCCACTTTCTGAGGCTATGTCCAGGGCATTAATCCAGCGTACATGGGCATTGACCAGGGCTGCTAGCCTTCCTGTTTTGGCACTGTATACCTTCAGTTGACCATTACCAAACCCTCCTACGATGATATCCTTCCATATACACAGACAGCTACAGGGATCACTGTAAATATCAGGTCAGTATTGTAAATATCAGGTCAGTATTGTAAATATCAGGTAAGTATTGTAAATATCAGGTCCCCATTACCTCTGATCCCAGTACCCCTGATCCCCGTACCCCTGATCCCAGTACCCCTGATCCCCGTACCCCTGATCCCAGTACCCCTGATCCCAGTACCACTGATCCCCGCACCCCTGATCCCAGTACCCCTGATCCCCGTACCCCTGATCCCAGTACCACTGGTCCCCGTACCCCTGATCCCAGTACCCCTGATCCCAGTACCACTG